CCCCTTTTTTATTTCAAAATTGAAGTTATCATATGATAAATATTCAGTGGACAAAGTTTAAAGGAAAATCTATTGTCACTTTTATTTCAGAGGAATTACCTTAAAGGGACAGTATCATGAGCTGCGCATGTATGAAACTGCTTTTTAATATCGGTTGAAGTATTTGTTTTTAGAGGGAATTTTAATGTAATATGTTATTTTATAGCTACGGAAAAGCAGATTTCTCAAAACTAAGTTACTTTTAGGCCGGGTTTTGAGGTCTGTTTGAGTTAAATAGCCTATTACTCGCGCCTTGTTTCCGGCCTGTCGGGTCGTAGCGTGAACAATACAAGTTCATAATTTCACCAGTGGTACTCGTCTCGTGTAAATAATTTTTTCTCTAGTATATTCCTTCAGATTTCTAAGTTAACAACTGCTGATGAAAGCTACGTTAATGCATAATTCCACAGTACATAACGATTCAAAGATCCCGATGCGGTAAACAGCCAATTCCTTCGATACCGTCAAATTGCAACACGATCCATTTATCTTTCAACTTCACAGGGCTAACCGACTCGTGTAAATATCCCTACAGATTTCAAAGTTAAATACGCCACTTGGAAGCTAAGTGAATGTAGATTCTCCAGTACGTTAAGATTTAGATGCCATGATACCTTAAATAGCCAAAAAAAGTCCTGCCGTTTTTCACCAAAATGACCATCAAATTGCAACACGATCCATGCATCTTTCAAATACTACGTTATAAAGAACTTGTTTTCCCCAGCATATTTGCACAGAATCCTGCCGGAAAGTCAGTAAAAAGCTAAGTGAATGTAGATTCTTAAGAAAATTATGATTTGGTGGTCAAGAGGCATAAGTAGCTCAACTGGTCAAGGTACATTCACTGCGTAGTCTTCCCTTGTCGACGCTATCTTGAATTTCGCACATGAGATTGACATCGTCGTTGGACGTTTTCAAAATCTAGATCGAAAGCTCGCGCATGCGCAGCTCATAATACTGTCCCTAATCATTCTCGTCCCCAGAGCGTCCGTTTCTTTTGGTCACCTGGTCTAGGAAACGGAGGGCTCTGGTAGCAGCCATTAAGGGCCTATTCACCGATCTTTTCGAGCCGTTGCTAAGGAAAATTTATTCTCATACAACCTCATCATTTTTAGTTAGTTCAGAGTTATTTCATGTGTTTTAACTTTTTTATGATTAGTAACACTAGTGATGACGTCATCAGGCCACGCCCATGGTCATGTGACTAATACTGAAAAAACGCAAAGGCTCCCAGGCAAATTACTTTATCGGGATTTTTTTCATTGATTTAATATTTTAATTTAAACACTCATTACGCTATGCATAGATTTTGTTTCATTTCTTAAAGGTCAGATTTTGAGAGAATTTCAAAATATTA